TTCGCTTGCTGCAATGGATATTAAAAGAGCCTACAGGAATGAACCATAATGTACCAAAATGTGTTTTAACTGTTTTTCCCTAACTAAAGGTCCCTTCTGAGTCTTTTCCAAACACAGAGTAAAAAATAGTGTTAATATGCAAAAAATGGATATTTGCACGTTAAGAACTACACAATAATGTACATGGGTGCATATAAATACACACTGCAAATCTCCACATGTGCATAGATGTAAATGATAGGTCTTGAGAAATAATTTCTATGTTTCTCATGTTATTGAGACAGAACATAAAGAGCTATTGCTTTTGTGTTGTTCTGCATTCTTATCAACCAAAGGAAGAAAAAAGCATTAGAAATACGTCCAAACACCTAGCGAGGGTTAAATAAATTGTCAAAATTCACTCCGGTCAATAGAATTGTGTCTGTCCACCACATGAAATATTTTACCTGCACTTAATGTATTGCTGTTACAGCAAGAGTTCACCTACCCTCATTACACTGTCATCCTCTTGAGCTGTTTCTCTCTCTTCTCTGCTCTCCTGTGATCATCATGACTGTTTCTTGCTCTTCGCCTGATCCCAAACCTATGACGTACAATATCTTTCTTTCCACTTCTCCTGCATTTTCAAAGAGGACAACTTTCATCCTCCATGACCTAAAAAACATAGGCATACAAATTTCTCTGGCTGTTCAGAAAATCTGCTTGCATCAAAACTTTCCCTCCCCAAATAAATTGTAACACATTATAACCTGTCACTCGCATCTGTTCTAGACAACTTGGCTTATGCAACACTGTCATGCTCTCTTAGCCATCTATCAGATGTGCTTTCATGCTGCACCCTACAGCCATAGCTATAATGTACCAAATAGAAAAACTATCACTGGAAATGTTCCAAAACTAATGAAGGTTTTTTACAGGAAGTCTTATTTACACGCCTGCTTAATTCACTTAAAATGTGTTCCACTATTAGAATAATTTTTTGGTTCTTGCCCAAAGATTTAATTTCACCAGACTCCACTTCTCAATGTTATTCCATCTTACTCATTCATTAACATTTCTTATTTTACAACTCGTGTTTTGCTGGCCTAGACCTTGCTTGCTATGTCAAAGAAAAAAAAGAAGGATCACAGTCATCCTAGCATGCCAAAATGAATTGACTATTCGGTTGTTAAAGCACCCTCTCTGCCTTTCATCGATTACTAAATAGTGGTTTAGGATGCTAAAGGCAAATGTCCATGAGGTTCAGCTTTTCACAAACACCAACAGTTTTGGTTCAGAGAATTGCAAAACAAAAACATTTGGGCAAGTATAGGTAATTTTACTCATGGCAAATAAAACAAAAACATTCTGATGTGACAAGGCAGCCAGATCAGGAACAAGTTATTTGGCATTGGAATCACTGTACTTCATGGTTCCAGCAGAGCACTGCATGCTAGACATGCAACCCCACCAAAAATGTGTTTGTTTCGTTTTGGATTGATTCCGACTTAAATTTATTTTTGTCGTTTGGATTTCGCATCCGAAAATTCGATTTGGTTTGTTTGTTTTTCATATTTCGTATTTGTCTGAATTTTTGTTTAGAAAAGATCTACAACAGGATGTCAAATGACCGTGCCTGTAATGTAGCCCTCAACAGCCAAAACAATATTTGATTGGCCAGAAAATAGTCACATGTCTGATTTAGTTTAGTTTTGAACAAACTTTGGACAGATCTGCATTTTCGTTAAAGAAACATTTGGATTTGTTCGCATCCAAACATCTGAATTTAACAAAACTTGTATGAATATCCATTTGTCACTAAGTGAAATTTACATGTCTACTGCATGCTATGAATGTAGAGTCTCCAGGTGTAGGACAAGGTAAGTATACAGCAGAACAGAGGTTAGTGTAAGGTGTTAGATGAGTGGTTAGGTTAGTGTTAAGATCACTTTAGGGCTTAGGTTTTGTATTATGGTTAAAAAGTTATGTGTTAACTGGTGTAGAGAGGGTTATGAATTCAGTTCACATTATGGTTATTGGTTAAGTGTAGGAGTTGGGGGGTAAATGTTAAGCACTCAGTGTCGGGGAGAAGTTAGATGTTAAAGGCTTATTTGAGGGGATAGTTAAGTATTCAGACAGGAGAGTTTTGAGTTTTAAGAGAGTGCTTTAGTGCACAGTATATATTATTGCTTTCTCAAATGCTGACCAGATACACTATGCTCAGATACACTATGCTCAGAGGCAGGACTTTCTTGCTGAAAAGAACCAGCACCAAGTACTTTTAATTTTATTCCCAAATCATCCAAACCTTTTTGCTAACCAGCATGTTCAACTCCTTCTCCTGGTCTGGGAAGGAAAAAAGCAATGAAATATCCTCTCTCTCTCTCTAGGCCTCTTCTCATCCTACTTTGCTTCATCTAGATTTGTCTTGGAAATAATTCCTCTTATTTCCTAGCACCTTTTTATTGGTTATCTTTAGTACTCATTTTATACATAAACACAGCTCTCAACCTTACCCTTCCTTGCAAAATATTCTCATTTCAAGAGTTACTTAAAGTGACATTAAACCCTCAGATTTTTTAACATAAAACAATACTGTAATGTGTGCCTTACTGTAATCCATGGTTGTTTCCCTTCTCTTTGCTGCTCTTCCTTTTAAATCTGTATCTGTTCTCATGCTCTGCAGAACTTCTGTTTTGCAGCAGACTGCCTTGTCTCAGGAATGGATATATGGGGGTTGATTTACTAACCTTTTAAACACACCACGAACGTGTATACACCTCTGTAGTGTGTTCCCTACCAGCATGATCAATGGGAGGGATCAAAACACCTTTGTAGTGTGTACACACCCAGCAGGTGTGTTGTTCAAAGCCCTGCAATGAATTGCAAGGTAATGTGGTGTAAATTAGCTCTATGTTATGTTGCTTGCGTTGATGAATGCAGGAATGTAAATGCATGAGCTAACCATTTTTGTCTAAACTGTGAAGCAGCATTATATATGCATCATGTGCATGATTTTTCCATATATGGCATTAGTGGAAATATGCTTTTAGAGACTTTTTGGTTGATAAATACGTTTTGCTGTGTGAAAATCACACACACCTGGTGTGTGTGTGTGTGTGTGTTTAGGTTAGTAAATCAACCCCATGGTGTCTGTGTATAGGTTTGTATAGGTTTGTAACCTGAGCCAGCACTACAGGAAGAGGCCCTGAGCTACAAAGGGAAGTTCTCCCCAAGCATGAGAAGACATGAGGATTTAAAAGGAAGAGCAGCAAAGAGAAGGGAAAAAACCATGAATTACAGTAAGGTGCACATTACAGTATTGTTTTATGTTAAAACATCTGAGGGTTTAATGTCACTTTAATGATATCTAATACCGGAAAGAAGAAAAGAGCACAAAACATTCCCAAAAAAGGCTACTATGCATCTTTAAAGAGGAGGGCCAGGAACATTAGGCTAGCTTATATGAGAGGGTTTGCAGCACAAAGAACTTATCAAATAAAGGAAAAAATTAAAATATATAAATAATTACGTAAATTAAAATTAAAATATATAGAACATTCTGCTCTGGGGCCACCCAGATCAGAAACTTTTCACTAGACTATATAGGAGGGGTTGTTGGGACAAAGTGGGGCTCAGACCACTGGAATTTATGGTGGCTATAATATAGCTGTTATGGGGAATCCAGTTGGCAGCTGATGCATGCTGCCATCTAGAGCTGCACTGTCTACCCATTGTACAATATGTGTTGCTATTGTCTCTGAAATGATGCACTCTAATGTTTATTTCAAGATACAAATCTGCCTCACCTCTCACTCTTATATTGCAACCTAGCCAAGCTTGTTACCTATTGTCCAGCCATTTAACAATATTTGTGCCTATTGTCTGTCTGATAATTCACTTATTTTTGTTGCAAGACTAAATCTGCCTATAAAAGTGCTCAAATACTGGCCTGATGCTAGCCAATTTCTACCAATCACATACCCAAAGTCTATTTAAAAAAAATATTTTTGGAATAATTGGGAAGGGGGATGGATTGGGGGTTTGGAAAGTATGTGGATTTTTGGTTTTGTAGTGTTTTTGTGACATTTTATTAAATGCAATGTAGTACTTAAAAGAAAAGAATACAAACTATACTATTAATATTTGTGCCACTGGCCATTCTGTATGAGATTGAGGGTTTAATTTTTTTTTTAACTTTTCTATTCCCTTTTAGATATACAGTATGTTGTGGCTGCTACTTCCACTGCTTGGTTGAATTTAAGCCTATTACTGCTGGATAAAAAAAATCATGTGTCACAGTCAAAACTACTTATAAAGACCTTTTTCAAGTTATAATGAATCAGATTGGGCTGCAACTGCAAAAAAAAATGATTACACATCCAAAATATGTGATGCCAGAATCTGATGTTACTGAGGCTGCTCATAAATATTGTACTGTTCCATAACACCAGACACAGCTTAAATGCATCTTCGAAGCATGTTATTAAAAGGATTGATGTTTTTACCCATTCCCCCCTCCTTTCCGAAGTTGCATTAAAAGGAGGACCCTCTTCCCGCTATATGGTATTTTCTATTTTATTTTTTTGCATTAGTACACCTCCTTCATGTTAGTGCCCAGCTCCCTTTACCTTTTTTTGTCATTCTCTTATAAATTATCCTTAAAAATGGGAAAATATGATTTTTTTAGATTCACCACTTCAGGTTGGAATTTTCAGGCTTCACACCAAGTTCGACAAACCCCCGTGAATTGAACCCAGTCACACTCACTTTTTCGTAATGATGATATTTGAAGCTGTACATAAAATCACCAATCAATTATAGGTTTGTCTTATGACTATGCTTACCCTTATGAATACAACCATCACTAAGTGTACTCTCCACTCTTTGACATTTGACAAAGCGTCCCCCTGCAATAAATCTTTTCTTTTAAAAAAAGAAATGCATACTATACTGTATATCTTTGTAAAAATAATTATCAAATGTTTAATACATAGTTTGTGTCCTTATACTCTCTCCAGGTGCAGAACATGTCACAGTCAATAGAGGTGCTGAATCTCCGCACACAAAGAGATTTCCAGTATGTACAGAAGATGGAGACCCAAATGAAGGGTCTAAGGTCCAAATTTAGGCAGATTGAAGAGGATCGGAAAACACTCTTAACTCGTCACTTTCAGGTGAGAACATTTAAATGAATATGGTTCAAAACTGTACTATTAGCAATCTTAATAGCAAATACAGGTTTCATTTTACTTTAAGTTTGCAGCAGTGAGTCATATATTCATAAACGCATTTAGTTGTTCTGTATATATCCTTTTTATTGATGTATTATGCTCCCTTATAACAATTTTTAATTTTAGAAATATAAAAAAAGTAAATATGAAATATTGCATGGATTCAGCCCCCCTTTCTTCCACCAATACAGATCTTCAGTTAGAGAGAGACAGCTTGAAAGCAAACAGCTCCTTAATGAACTGTTTATAAAATGATCATTAAATGCTTTATGTTCATAGTTAAATAAACATTTTATATAGTGAAATATTAAGTATCAATAGTGGGTTTAAAAACAAACAAAAATAGTGAATTACAATTGGCCCCAAACCATTACAGTACAAGTTTAAGGCAACAAAGTTCATTCAGTTAAAATATGGTTAAAGTGACATTAAACCCTCAGATTTTTTAACATAAACCAATACTGTAATGTGTGCCTTACTGTAATCCATGGTAGTTTCCCTTCTCTTTGCTGCTCTTCCTTTTAAATCCTCATTTCTTCTCATGCTTGGGGAGAACTTCCCTTTTCAGCTGAGTGCCTCTTCCTGTAGTGCTGGCTTAGGTTGCACAAGGCAGTCTGCTGCAAAACAGAAGTTCTGCCCAGCATGAGAACAGATACAGATTTAAAAGGAAGAGCAGCAAAGAGAAGGGAAACAACCATGGATTACTGTAAGGTGCACATTACAGTATTGTTTTATGTTAAAAAAATCTGAGGGTTTAATGTCACTTTAATTGTTTCACCTTTTCTAATTTTTGATAATAAATAGTTTGCCACCTGGATATTGCAGAAATGTCTGTTGAAGAAACCAAAGAAATGGCTCAGGGTAAGGACAGTTGTGTGCAATATGTATTGTAGACAATTGTCTATAGACAAATGTTTTTCTGTTTAGGCTAGTATACATAGAGCAGGTAACATATTGTCCTGTGGCCAGACTACTCAATATAGAGGAAACACAAGCAGATTTCTGAGTTTCATTATTTGCTCCAAATTCATAAGCTATAACCATAATTATACACTGGTAGATTGCTGTGAAGCTAAAACGAGCCTGCCATTCAGTTGCAAACAATTGAATCTAATATGGATCATGTTCAAAACTGCTTTTTTTAGAAGAGGCATTAAGCTACATGTCTTCCATGAGAGTCCTGAATGTAAAATTCACATCGATTCTAAAATATATATTTCCCATGAGCTATTGCTTCAAAGACTGGAGTCTGCACATTAAATGGCGCAAATGAACCACAATTATATTAATTTCTCCTAGTAAAAAACCTTACGGTAAGTTAAAGCCCAACTCCATCCTGGAGCAAAAGAAGAAACTCAATGGCCCATTTTTGGTAAAATATAAAAGATATTTTTTTTCCTATTTTTTTTCCACTTAACTTTATTGTTATCACATAGGGGGCTAAGAAACCCCCCTATGTGATAGCAAAGATGTTTGACAGGTCCTCTTTATGGAGACATCAGGGGTCTCCAAGACCCCTAATGCCACCTAGGGACCCCCAAAGAAGCTGATGAAGCAGCGATCTGCTTCATCAGCTTCTCTCCAGCTTCTGAAGCTGGAGAGTGACACAAGAAAGCAGAAGTGATGTAATATACATCACTTCCGCATTCTGACACCGGAGAGGGGACCAGGGGGAGATCTGTACCGTTCTCCCTCTGATCTCCTGTCAGAGAGCCACCATTCTGGTCCCGGGCTCGCAGAGGGGGGCGCTCCAATCGGCACCCCATACAAGCAATATAGCCTATAGCTGTTAGTTCTATAGCCGGCAGATCACTTGTATGTAAATTTTGGTCATTTCCAGCTCATGCAAGGCTAACAGGCTGTGTATACTGTATATGGCCTGTTACATCCAGGAAGATTATATTTTTTTATAATAAGGTAAAGTATTTAGTATTTTCATATGCACTTAGTAGGTAGAGCTCTTGGCTCATTTCTTTATGTTTTCCAGGAACTTTCTATATGTTATGTTAAAATAGAACTCAATAATTCATGCTAAAACTTACACACACAAGAGAATAAGTTGGAGCAGCGACTGATCATTCTCCCTGTTTGCCTTCTACAAAGTTTCAATTAGATAGAGAGTAGACATGTGCAATTCATTTGGTTCCGAATCGAAATTCGGACAAAATTTCGGAGATTCGGATGTATCCGAATTCCGAATTACAGATATAACGAATGCAAACGAATCCGAATTTCCGATTTGGTTTTTTTGGACGAACTTTTGTTTTTTGGACGAAATTTCATTGCAGCAAAGTGACATTTGAGAACAAAAAACTTTTTTTTCCTCTTAAATGTCACTTTGCTGCAACGAACGAACAAAGCAAAATTTCTTATGGATTACTGCTAACGAATTTCATCCGAATTCCGAAACAAATTGACTTTCGGACCTGAATTTCAAAGAACGAAATAACGCAAAATCCAAATCGAAACTAAACTAAACAAATTTTTTGCTGGTGCACATGTCTAATAGAGAGAACCTGAAAGCCGACGGCTTCTGCTGTACTCTGTAGAAAACAATGGTTCTCTGCGAATCCAAACTCATGGATACATCCTGTATTGGTTTTATTTGTACAACAAAGGTTCTATATACAACCGCAATACCAAAAAAGTTGGGACCCTGTGTAAAATCTACATAAAAACAGAATGCAATGATTTGCAAATCTTATAAACCCATATTGTGTTCACAATATAAAATAGAAAACATATAAAATGTTTAAACTGAGAAAATGTGCCGTTTTAAGAAAAAAATAAGGTAATTTTGAAATTGATAGCAGCAACACATCTCAAAAAAGTTGTGACAGGGCAACAAAAAGCTGACAAGTAAGTAGTACTAACAAGGAACAGCTAGAAAGACTAATTAGGTTAATTGGCAACAGGTCAGTAACATAATTGTTTATAAGAACAGCATATTAGAGAGTCCGAGTGTCTCAGAAATAAAGATGGGCAGAGGTTCACCAATCTGTGAAAAGCTGTGCCCCAAAAATTGTCGAATTATTTCAGAATAATGTTCTTCAAGGTGAAATTGCAAAGAAATTGCAAAATTGCAAAGTGTATCTTCATATAATTTCATACTGTATAAAGAATGTTAACTAAATCCTTTATTTATTTTAGGATCTGAAAGAAAAAATGGATGAGCTCCAGCCACTAATTCCAGTTTTGGAACAATATAAGACAGATGCCCGGCTAATTACACAGTTCAAAGAGGAGATTAGAAATTTGACTGGAATTCTCACAACCATTCAACATGAGATAGGCGCCTTTGACTATGAAGACCTGCATCAACGTGTCCTAGGACTGGAGACCCGACTGAGAGATTGCATGAAAAAACTAAGTAATCCAAAATGCTTCATATTATTGTAGTTACTTATTTATTTGCATAAATAATAATTTTCCTCTGCACAATCAGATATTGCACTATTTACTACTACAACTTCCAAAACAAGAGAAGTAGACCGCCAAAACACAGATTGCTAATTGCAAGTGAATCCTAGCAGAACAAGGGCAATAATGGTTTCTGCAAGTCATAATGGTTACTCTAATATGTGTAGGTTCAACAAACAAATGTCCCTTTAATATAAGATGTCCATTAATGTATCCTCCCCAGCGCTTGAATGCAGCCCACCAGGGTATATACCCAGCACCGCATAGCCTTTCTTCCAAAAAAATCCCTACTAGATCTTCTTTTTAGTGCACCATATTCCTATTTATTCTTAGGGGTAAGCTCATGGCAGCTTTCAGCGGTCCAGCAGAGTTTGTCTCTCCATTGTAAGTTAATAGGGTAACAGTGTGCATTAAGTGAAGGGAGGTTTTCAGAAGCAAGGCTGTGTGGCACTGGCACGGCCGCACAGTGAAGATCTCTGGAGTGGGGAGGAAGATAATTATGTAACCAGGTGGGCTGCATTCACTGGGGTGGGTGGATTTATTACAGGAAAATTTGTGCTAAAGGCACAGTTGTCCTTTAACCACTTCAAGACCAGGTGTTTAGACCCCCTTCCTGGCCAGGCCATTTTTCAGTATTCAGCGCTGCGATACTTTGACTGACGTTTATTCTGTCATGCAAAGCTGTACTGAAATTAATTTTAAACAATTTTTGGGGGACAGATAGAGCTTTCTTTTGGTGGTATTTAATCACCACTACGGGTTTTACTTTTTACTATAATTATGAAAAATTACTGAAAATTTTGGGAAAAAAAAGTTTTTTTAAACATTATGTTAGGAAACATTTATTATTACCCAGTTTTTTGGTAAAATATAAAAGTCGGGGTCACGTCGGGTAAATAGACACCAAACATGTCAAGCTTTAAAATTATGCGCACCCGCGACATCACAGAAAACTACCATACCCAAAATTGGCCATAGGCGACACTTTAAAAGCTTTTACCGCTCATCAGTTTAGTGTTATCAGTAAAAGATGGCTCTAGAATTATTGCTCTCACTCCGACGTTCGCGACGATATGTAACATGTGCGGCGTAATGGGCGCAATCGGCTTTTTTGCACGTATGCGCCCCCGACGCATGTTTGTGTGCATGTATGTATGGGTGGGGACTTTAAAAAAAAACATTTTTAATTCTTTTTTATGTGTAACTTTAAATTGTTTTGGGGGGAACTTAACTTTTTTTATCTTTTTTTTTTCACTAAACTTTATTGCTATCACATACGGGGGCTAAACAAAAACCCCTATGTAATAGCAAAATATGTGACAGGTCCTCTTTGTGGAGAAATCAGGGGTCTCCAAGACCCCTAATGTCACCTAGGACCCCCCAAAAGAAGCTGATGACGCACAGATCTGCTCCATCAGCTTATTTGCAGCTTCTGAAGCTGGAGAGTGACACAAGAATGCGGAAGTGATGTAATATACAACACTTCCGCATTCTTTCAGAGGAGAGGGGACTGGAGGGAGCTCGTGTAACAAGCTCCCTCTGATCCCCTGTTACACAGGCATGGCGCTGATCCCGGGCTCGCACCAGGCGCAGCGGAGCCCGGGATCAGCGGGACAATGGCGGGGGGGAAAGCGGAGGGGGGGCGCACCGATCGTTGCAACATACAAGCGATCCGCCGGCTCTACAGCTGGCGGATCGCTTGTATGTTAACAGGCATCGCTGCCTGTTTTTAAATTGCGGCCATTTCCCGCTCGGCCCGGAGGCAGTTAAAGAGGAGCTTCATGACAAAAATTAATGACTACTTAGAAACCAGCAATTGTTGAGACAATGAACACTTTACATACCCTAAATTATAAATTGAAAGTCTGAGATAATTATATCTATCATAGAAATAAATTACACCATTAAAAAAATGTGCCTGTTGCCTAGCCAGGTTTTGGCCCACACTGTCTAGCTGTCTATCTTGGGTACCAATGGCTGACTACTCCTCCAAACGACTGAATAGAGGTTCTATCATGCATGCACAGCATGGGGGAGTCTACAATAAACCACAGAGTAAAGGTCATTTAGGAGCGAGGACAGGTAAGTATAAGACTGTATTAAAAGCACAGTTAATCTGTAATTAGTTTGCACCTATGAGAAGCATCATGAAGGTCTACAGGTCATGAATATAATATAAAGTGCATTTATCTGTTTTTGGTGGGAAGTAGGATAATGTGTAAACAATAACCTTGTTTTTATTAGATACCTGCACTGAATATCTTCAGAGCTGTACCTAATTTACCTAATTTATTTATGACCAACATTTAAAAAACAGTGATGTCATCCATTCTATCAATGTGATGATGTTATCATGTGTTTCATAATGACTCCACTATGCTTAACTTAGCAATACAAATTGAAGAGCCTCTGAATATATTTATAATAATCAGTAGCCCTGTGGCTTGTTTAATGAGTGGCCTCTGTTTGAATATGTCCTTGATCACCGATGCAGCTTTGAGTTGTTTTATCGCAAATTCTTCTGTAGTGGAGTAGGCAAAAGGTATGAAGGTCACTGTGTAATAACTATTATCTGTTACAATGCAGACAACTTTATATAGGGTAAAAGTTCTGATTGTAGCATTAGAATCCTGAGTATAGATTTTTTGTAATAACATGCCATCTACTGGATACTGGATGTGTACAATACGAAGAAAGGCTAAGGGCCGGTTCACACCACGAGCAGTGTGTTTCCGGGACGGTGAGTGGCCGGAACGCACTGGATTGCATAATTAAAGCCTCCCACATTCTGGGGTGGGAGGGGGCATGGTGGCGCCATCCATGTCAATGCATGTACCATTTTTTAAAATCCTCACCGTACCCAACCGTGGGCGTTGCTGTACCACTTGTCCTGGTGCGGGCGATCTCACTGCGGGTGGGAGGCGTGGCTGCTGTGTTATTGACATAAATGGCTAAATGCCACCACCATGGCACCTCTTGCCCAGAACACGGGAGACTTTAATTATGCAATGTGGTGTGAACTGGCCCTTAATATAAATTTCTGCTTACTCAGATGAGGCAAAAATAAATGATCTAATATATCATAAGTATCTGGTCAAAACAGATTTGGCATGATTTATTTCTCTCCATGCACAGTCTGCTGCATAGAACTTAATTTGGAATCAATCGTATGGTGTGACAATTTGACTTTTGTATGGGTGCCTATAGGAGTATAGTTTATACAATCAAGGATATTACTGTGTTTTACTTTTTAAAAATTTACAATTAAGCCATTATCTTTTATCTCTACATACTTGGCACCATAACTGCACGATATAGTAGGCTGTATAAATATGCCACCTAGGGGCTAATTACAATATTTCTGCTGAACTAGACACTGAATCTTTATCCCTCCACTCCATCTGACCTGTAATGCCAGTATACACCGGTATACATTGGCTGAACAAATCATAAAATACTATTTTGAAGGTATCAATTGAGGCACATTTAGGTTTGCAAGTCTCGTTAACAATGACTGTCTCCTCGTAATACTGAATAGTACAAATACAATTTTACACTGGTAACATTATTTATAAAAATGTTGTACTGACATAAATATAGTATTTACCTGTATTGTATGTATCACATGGCATATTATGCTTTATATGATATTTCAAGAAGCAGCAGGTTGTGGGTGAAATTTTTTTTTTTTTTATTGAGCCCTATCCATAACTTACATTTTTCGTTGTTTTTTTAGCTTGTGGAAAACTGATGAAGATTACTGGACCTATTACTATAAAGGCATCCGGGCCAAGGTTTGGAGCATGGATGACAGATCCTATAGCATCAGAGAAAAATAATCGTGTATGTATTATCATAATTGTTATAATATGAAAAAATACCTTGTAGGTAATCCCTATGTAAATAATCTGGATATCAGAATTAACAATAACAAATACAGCAAAAAATGACTCTATAATGGGTTTCTAATCAGTTGTGAATTGCGGTTCACTTGCTTGCTATGGTGCATTTAAAAAATAAAGACTCTGTACAGTATTCTTCAAGAATCCAGACATCTACAGCAGGGGCTTTGCTGGAGGAAACCCTAAATACCTTGAAGTGTTGTGGCTTGTACTATAACATATTGAAAAGTGGATACTTTTTGTCCCTTATATTATCCATTCGTTCTGTCTTCTTTTTTCTCTTTACTGTATTCCCTGCCTTTGGTCCCTTTCCCTCTCTTGCTGCATTCCCTTAGTGCTGAGCCATTAGTACACAGTGTGTAGCAGAGGTGGTAATGGAATCCCAGTAATTTGTAAAAAGTGGCAGATTCTATGATTACATAAATTACACACACATAATATTTATAAGGATTTGTGAAAGGTAATATGCTGTTACAAAGTGAAATATGTCAAAGCAAATACAAGATACAAAGAAAAGTAGTCTCAGAACCAAAAGTTTAGGGAAGATTAAAGTGTGTTGTCATATTCTGGTTGATAGCACTACTTACTGCAAAGGAGAACTGGGGCACTTAAAAGAAGATTAGAGTACATTAGACATGTGCGATTAGTTTCGTTCCGAATCGAAATTTGGACGAATTTTCGGAAATTCGGACATTCGGATGTATCCGAATTCCGAATTACAGACATAACGAATGCAAACGAATCCGAATTTCCATTTCCGAAATTCAGTAGCGTTCGTACGAACGTTCGTTTCGTTTTCTGTTCTTATTCGTTTCTTATTCGTTTCTTATTCGTTTCTTATTCGTTTCGTTCGTTGGAGCAAAGTGACATTAGGGGAGAAAAATATTTTTCCCCCTCAAATGTCACTTTTGCTGCAAACGAACGAAACGAATAAGAACAGAAAACGAAACGAACGTTCGTACGAACGCTACCGAATTTCGTCCGAATCCGAATTCCGAATCCGAATTGACTTTCACACCCGAATCCTGAAAAACGAAATAACACAAATCCGAATTTAAAACGAAACGAAACTAAACGAATTTTTTGGCAGTGCACATGTCTAGAGTACATGTCCTGGGTGCCGGGATCTGTATGTAGACATGTATTCTTAGAAGAGTTCTACTGGTAAATTATAAGTTGGAAGTAAAGTGATATTATAAGGCCTGGGAACTCCTAATTCTTTCCGTGTTAATAATTGTTACAATAACTTGCTGTGAGGTGTTCAATCTTAAAAAAAATTTAATATCCAAAGCTAACAAAAATTTAAGTTTCAACCTATATACTGTATCTATGATGTGGGGACTGATTCAACTGAGGCTGAATTAATACAACTTTTTTCTCTCTTACATATCTATTTCATCTTTTCAGGTCTGGTACATGGAAGGGTTTACAACCAGCAAAATTGTGCGTGAGTACAAGTCAATGGCAGATTTTGTCACTGGGGCAGAATCAAGGACTTACACACTACCAGTGAAGTGGGCTGGCACCAGCCACCTGGTATACAATGGGTCGTTGTACTTTAACAAGTACCAAAGCAACATCATAATTAAGTACAGTTTTAGCACAGGGAAGATTTTGGCCCAACGTAGTTTGGACAATGCCGGATTCAACAACGTCTATCCTTACACATGGGGGGGCTACTCTGACATAGATCTCATGGCTGATGAATTTGGGTTATGGGCTGTTTATGCTACCAACCAGAATGCTGGCAATATTGTTGTTAGCCAGTTACGACAGGATACATTAGAGGTGCTTAAAAGCTGGAGTACAGGATATCCTAAGAGGAGTGCTGGAGAGTCCTTTATGATTTGTGGCACATTGTATGTTACCAACAACCATCTTACTGGGGCAAAGGTCTACTACTCATATTCTACCAAGTCCTCTACATATGAATACATGGACATTCCCTTTCATAATCAGTACTTTCACATATCAATGCTGGATTACAATGCTCGAGATCGTGCCCTGTATGCTTGGAACAATGGACACCAGGTGCTTTTTAATGTCACACTTTTTCACATAATCAAAACGGACAGTGATGTCTGAGGTTCAACACAACCAGCCTTCCACCAGGGAGCACTAGCTCATCTCTATACAGTTTTTTCTACTTTACTCCATCCAGTTTGTCTACATCATCCATGCTTACTATAACTCTACATCTTATTTTATTAATTGATAATCCATCTGTTATTTATTTTCTCTTCTATGCTAGGTACTTCTAGGGCCATGCAAAAGTCAACAATCAGTTAAGTAGAGCTGACAGACATTTTATGGAAGGCAACTGGTTTATATAAAGATATTTTTAGGTGTATCAAACTAAAAGATGTTTAGTGCATACGAATCTGTCTTATAAGAGTTATATTTATAGCAACATCCAGATGTTACAGGCAAACACAACAATGTAGTGGATAATGTGAGTAAGGGGAGATGGATAAAACTGAAGCAACCGATATAGGGGGATGTAAATCTCGGCATGGACATGCTCAGTCCAAAACTGAAAAGAAGAAACCAAATTTTGGTTTGAGTATAAAGGGTAGAGAGGATGCAGCCCATATATTTTTTAGATATTTTGAATACATAAAATAGCTCAGAGTTGCATATCTAAGAGGAGGTTTGTTAATCAGCTTTGGCTATTTATGGTTTGATACTTGCTTTGTAAAAGTACCAAACTATCTCAAAAGTCCTTGCATTATGCACTATGTGAAGCAAAGAGGTTAGTTAATTTATATAATTTTTTTAAACATTTTGATAACATTATTATCTAGTTTGTACCATAAAGAAAACCACTTAGAAGCCTGGGCAATTCTAACAGAGGATATGATTTTAAAAAAATGGATAGCCAAAGGTTATCTTTCATTAAAGCTGCCTCCTCTAATTATTCCTACTGTTCAGTAAAGCAAACCATCACATTAAAGGAAATACAGAGAGGCTTGGGAGCTAGTAGGGGGGTGGCTTAATTTGACTGTTGCAGGAGAAGTCAAGATTTGCATATAACTTAAGATCTTTGGATCTACTAATCATTATAAATAACCACTGCTAAAGCATTTTTTACAATACACATTCATTGTAATTTGTCCAAACATGTACCAGGTTTTAAATAAATCATCACCCATATTGTATCCTAGAGAATAAGATGAACCAGTGAAATGTGTGCTTCCCAGACTGCTAAGCTTTGCTTGTTAGATATTTTATTAAAAGGGTAATAGCTTCAAATACTTGATGTATAGAAGGGTTAAATAATTTTTGAGGTGTAATTACATTTTCACTCTGACAGAAATAAGGAACACTTTAATGTAGTGCGTAGCCTTTGCCCATGGTCAGATGGGACACGAAAGTCAATAATCTGAAAGAATGTATGACCCAGCTTCCTTTTTATAAAAGGGTGAGCTAACAGCAACCATATTGTCAGTATTTGTTAAGTCGGTAGGAGGAGATGAAAGTTCTGTAAAAGGAGAAATACTGTATTTTTTATTCTAAATAGAAAATGTCCACAATGGCAGTGCATGGCTTCCCACGCCCTTCCCACCATGGCAGTGTCTGGCTTCCCATGCCCTTGTTTGACAATATTTTCCTTATTAGCTGTACAAATGGGCAGAATTGAATAACAATTGGGTACACTACAATGTTTATAAACTTTGAATTCAAGCAAAATTTTGCAAAACTGTACACAAACCAAACCCAGCCAGCTTCACTCATCCCTATTCTTCACCTGCTATGTGTAATTTGGAGATTTTGAAGTCCTTATAAGGTTGATTTACTAAAGACAAATTGGCTGTTCTCTTTGCAAAGACATTTGCAGGGAAAGCTTCCCTTGGCTTACTGGACATGGTTAAATATCACCTTGCAAAGAAAGCCCAATCATATGCAAGGAAACTAAAAAACTAAAAAAAAAACAGTATTTTTTTGCACATAATTGGATAAAGGAAGTCAGCAGAGCTTCACCTTATGCACTACGCTAAGGGGAAACGTCCCCTGCAATTTGCAAATGCTCCTGCAAAGTGAACAGCCTATTTCCCTTCAGTAAATTAACCCCAATAACTTATCCTTAGCCCTAAAGCTCTAATATCTCAGCACTCTGAGAAATTAGAGTATCTCTCACTAGAAAGCAGAAATGTGTTTTAATGTTTTATATTTTTCTTAGAAATCACAAGTACAAATTGTGCAGTGTTAGGTTACATGCTGTTTTGTTTATTTCATGGGGCAATTTAATTCATTGCCTGTTTCTAGTGGAAACATAAATGAGTTAATAAGCTTGGCCCGCCCCTTACTCCATTCTCATATCACTAAATAAGTTGCTGGCAGGTCTAATTATCTCTAATTATTAAACCCTGGAGCGGCCTCCACTAATAAGTCATAACGATGGACAATTATTTGGTCTATTAATCACGTTGACTCTAATAACGCATTGAGACTGTGAGAAAGTAACCAGGATGTGATATTAATTTTGTGACTGCATTAGAAATCATTTTAAAAAAACAGTGCCAGAGTTTTAAAATCTAAAAAGCCAGCTGATCTGTGTAAAGTTTACAATAAATCTGTCTTAATTTTTTAAAAAACATTCTGCCAAGATATAGTGATTAAACACGGCCATTTGGAAGCCTAAAGCAGACCTCCAGTAAACAGATAGAATTCACAGCCCATATATTTGACTTGCTTTACCTACCAAAATATTCATAATTTGGTGCAGTCACCTTTTTGGTAGATCTTTTTTCACCCTATATAGCAACTTAGCAATTACTCAAAGTAAATTAACACTAAAATTTCCTATTTTACCTTTCTGACAACCAGCTTATTACTGGTCACCTTGTGCTGTTCTGTCCTGTAAACCGTGCTTGAAACATGTTAGACTGGCCACTCTGTACTGTGCAATAAAGTTGGATTACCACTTGAGATATGCTATAAAGTCCTAGGTGCATACAAATCTATTTAGGTTCAAATCACACAAAGTAGAAACAAATCATTAGAACATACTGACTGTTGCATTTATAATGGAGAAGAAACTAGGTTTGTTTCTTGTGCTTCTCTGACTGATGTTTAGAATTAACAGGTTTTACTTTATTTGATAACTGATGTGCAGGGTTTTAATATTAAGATGTTCAGCAGTTACAGAGGTAGAATATAAAAATAAAATGGGTTATTTTGATTGACTACACAACGGTACTAATGGATAGTGTTTTTCATTGGCCTTGAGTTTTGTTTTCTAGTTTTTTTTTATAAAAATCTTCAATCATTTTTTGTGCTTCAGTGTTTCAGTGTATGTTGTTATTTGCCTTATTATGTCCATTGCAAATCTCTTTGTTTTTCAGTAATCGATGTTCTCCTGGGCTTGCATTCATACTGCTCTATAACTCGCATTTCACCAGTGTATGTCCTATATATTATCTCAGCTCTCTGTGGTGGTTATAGGCTAGTCTTTACAGAACTCCTTACAGTTCATAATGATATCCCCACTACTGGTATAAATGATCTAAGAAGTCATTCAAGATGCAGTGCAGCCCTGTGGTGAGAATTTCTACATTGTCTTCTACAACTAAGAAGATGCTACTGACGGTCAGTTGACTTACTCATCACCAGTTGACCCAAGACTCAAGAGCACTGCCTGAACCCTGGACTGCTGCATATCTACTTGATCAAACAGCATTAGTGAATTTCTATTTTTCAGAAATTTGGTCTGTGAATTTTGGAAAACTGCCCAATTGTGCTGTGATGAATTATTTCAAATATGAACAAGAGCCAGCACTTAAATTTCCCACATTTGTATTCAGTCTTGTAGAAGAATATGTGATAAGTAAAAAATTATCATCAGGAACGCTGAGGTTGTTTCTATGTACATTATAATAAAGGGATGTTGGGTTAAAAGTTAAAGAAAATTAAATAAAGTAGGAGTGTCTACAAATGTTTAGACTGTGAGATGTTCATACAGATTTTAATCAAGAACCATCTCATGGTGTGACATCAAACCTTCGGCCACAGTTGGAACAGTTGAACTGAACCTTTTTTGCCTTATTCTGTTTTGTTAACAATAATTATAACATCATTGTAGAAGAACCATGCAAACCATTCTCAAGCATAAATTGTTTTATACACTCTCATTCATTTTTCAGACAAGTGATTGTGAAATGTTTCTTGATATCTAGTTGTTAAAAGTTTTACCATATCTCTGAGGATAGAGTACACATTTGCTACAAATATTTGGTATTATATAGTATATGCTTAGAAAGTAACTACAATTATGGATCAAATAGTATTGCATACATTCATGCCATGTGTGCCCACATATATACATTTATATGTAAAGACCAGACTCTAGGTTCACATCAGGGTGTTTTCTGAATTCAGTGGACCTGGGAGCAAAATCATAAGTTGGGCCCACTTCTTTAAGAAAAGAAAAACTAAAGCTTTGTTTACACTAGCCTTTGTGGTGCTGTATCCAGATCCCTAACTCTTATGCATCTCACAAGACTCACGGACTGGGATGTGGCACAACTCTGGACTATTGGCACCTAAACATTGTAGTTCAACAATGCAAAGATAAAATAAAGGAACATATATACCATATTATTCTAAACAGGTATCTGGTTTTAGCTCCTCACTCACCGGATGGCAGCTACAGTGTTCCCCCATATCAGTAGTTCTACTACCGTCCAGTCACAAGGTGAAGTCATTCATGCTATGTCACCGGAATAGAGCAGGAACCAATAACAGAGGGCCCCAGTCACAGTCTACCCCCTCACTGTTTGTCAGCATCTGCTGCAAGGAAAGAGAGATTATGGAATTGGCAAAGCCATGTGACTCATTCTGGTATCTTTGCTGCTTTTTTTACTGCTGCTACTTTGTAGAATACTGCTGAGCAGAACAGATGGGTATTGCACTGAGTAAATATAATTAGTGGCATAGAGTACAGGCTCCATAACGTGGTATACATTGCTGTCATTATACACAAAGAAAGGGAATTATTTATATTTTCTAAATGAAATAGCCAGCTATGTATTCCATTGCCAACAAATGCCAAAACAAATTTAAATAGCTTCTACACATGTAAGGAGCAACAAAACTCAGTATGCAGAGAGTGATACAATGAATACCAGGCTGAAACTCTGAAACAAAATCAATAGAATTTGTATTCTATGCTCATCTCTACTTTTAGCTGCAGAATTTAAATAGGTAATGCAGGTCTTATCACAGATGAAAGGTTGATCGGTTCTGAAGACGCAGAGCAGTACATGTAAGATAGTTATGCATTTATATCAGATTTAAAAGCACTATAGATTTAATATTAGTGTTTTTCTGACTTACTGGGATTCAAGATTCTCTTTAAGAATCCAATTCTATGAACATCACTCAAAGCA